CACTGCCGCACATGCGCCGCCCTGCCGATCCGCGCCCCCATTGCTGAGCCGCGCAGCCCTGCTGAGCTGCGCCGCCCTACCGAGTTGCGCTGCTACTGGTGCTACAAATGCTAGGCAACTACTGCTTCTTCTGCTGTCATGGCTAGCCCTAATGTCCTTACCTTTGATGCTGAGGGTCGAGCAGTCGATTACGAGGTCTAGGTCGATGATCTGCAGCTTTTCATGCAGTGTGACTCTAGGGACGGAGTCTCACTGTTTGATCACACGTCCGGCGTCTCTGTTGCACCTGCTGCCGATGCTGAAAGTGCAGTCCGCTCAAAGTGGACCACGCGCAATGTTGCTGCTTGTCTTTCTGTTCGCAGTCACGTGCCGTCTGCTGAGCATGCACAATTTAGCCAGTACAAGAGTGCTAAGACTCTATACGATGCTGTTGTTGTGCGCTACTCCTCCCCTGCCACTTCTGCCCTTAGCCGCCTCATGTTGCCGTACCTGTTCCCTGACCTAGCCGCTTTTGACACTGTCGCTGACCTCATCACGCACCTCCGCAATAGTGACACCCGCTACCGCGCTGCGCTTCCTCCCAAGTTCTGCGCCACGAACCCCCCCCCCCCTATGTGCATCACTCTCTACTACCTCGTCACCCGGCTCCCTGACTCCCTTCGCTCGGTCAAGGACCACTTCCCCTCCCTTTGCCCCATCACACTCGCTGTTGACCTCCTCGAGGAGCGCCTCCTTGCAGCTGAGAAGAATATAGTCGTTGTAGGAGCCTCTCGTGGTGACCCTTGTGCCCCTTTCTTTGAGTGGTGCTCCCCCGTTCCCCTTTTGCCCTCTGTTGCCTCTGTTGGTGCAACCCTACGGTTTGCACTCGGCTTGTTGTATGTGTGCGTGCATGTGTGTGTGCATGGAATGGAATGAGGGCATGAAATAAATATATATTTGATGCTCATAATATTGTGTGTATAATTGGTCATGATTTCGAGTGTGTGTGTGTCAAGTCTATAGCGAATTATCGCTAGTCCCGTTTAACGCGGTCATTTTGTGTGTCCCGCGCGGTTTCTATTTTGTCGTGCGCGGTTTCTATTTTGTCGCTTGTCGAACGTTCGGCGTGTCGCAGGTGTGTGCCGCAGACCCATCAAGAACTCAAGGATGAGTTTGTGATGAAGAACACGAGCCCTGGTGTCAATATTCAAGTGTTCGCGAAGCTCGCCAAAAGGGGCACACCTCAAGAAATTGAAGATAGTTACATTACTTTGTGTAGTGTAACATTTCACTTGGTGTAGACCCTAGTGAAGGGTAGTTTCGAGACCCTTCGTGTTTGGGGACAGTGTGACACTGTTACACATCACTGTATCTAGGCTCTTGGGGTTTGTAAGAGCGGGGAGTCATTCCCAACTCGTAACTCTTTCCAACTCTTCAAAATTCGTGTTCTAAGACTATAGTGGCTGCCATAGTGCCGTTCATTCAAACTGATGCTATGCCGTCAATTCTTTATGAAATCGTGTGATCTAAATTTTCTATTGTAGGCGACGTTAAGGCGCTCTAGATCCAAGTTGAATGAAGTCATTTAGAGTTGTGAGCGGATCGCTATGAACGTTTGAAGCCGCAATGCAAAAGTCCGATTGTACACTCTATCTTCCGTTTTAGGCACATTGGAGCCTATTGTGCTTATAACAAGTGGTATCAGAGCCCCTTGGAGCAGCTACGACTATGGCTGGACCTGAAGAAAGGGGTGGCAGAGGTGCTGGAGGCAATGGAGAAGCCCAAGCACAAGGCCAAGCCCGTGATTCAGCCGTGGCGCCCGTGCAACCAAGTGTTGGCCCATCTAGGGACGAGCCTAGAGTGTTTTTCCTTGACAAGTTCAACGGTGACAACTTTGCTGAGTGGTCCTTCAGAATGGAGAATGTGTTTAACCACTATGATCCGCTGGAGGTGATGGAAGGAATGAAGAAGCGCCCCGAGAACGACCCGGAAAAGAGCCCGTGGGTGCGGAAGAGCGCACAAGGCTACCTCCTACTTTGGCAAGCGTGGGGGAGCAGCCAGATTCGTCACATCAAGCCATTCCAGCGTGAACCTGAGAAGGGACCAAAGGCACGGGCTGCTCTCAAGGGTGTACACGCTCCTGCAACAGCGGCGGTAGCTGTGGTGTTGGAACGGCAAATGGCGACGCTACGAATTGAGGAAGATGAACCCGTGGAAGACGGGGTGCAGAAAGTCTTCGACTTATTGACGCGGCTTGAGGGAGCTGATCTGAATCACAGTGAGCTCCAGAAGAAGACCAAGTTGCTGGCCTTACTCCCGGAGTTGTGGTCCTCGCTCATAATCAACTTGAACTGTGATCTGCCCCATCTCTCGCTTGAAGACGTGAAGCGCGCGATCCTTCAAGAGGACTTGGGGGAGAAAGATCTGGTGGCGGCAACTTCAGTGGAGGCCGCGGGAATGGCGGATACAGTAGCGACAACAAGAGCTACGGTCGCGGTCGTGGACGATTTGACAGCGAATGTCACTATTGTGGCAAGAGCGGACACATGTGGCGCGATTGCTTCAAGCTCCCTTATGGTTGGACCCCTGCTCAAGGCCAAGAGGGTAGAGGACCAGGAGGAGGGAGAGGAAGAGGCCGTGGAGGCCATTGCAGTCGTGGAGGTGGAGCCGCGAACATGAAGAGTGGAGACAACGACAAGGACCCGAGCGACGATCGGTACCCTGGTCTATTCTACTTTGTGTCGATGCAAGTACCAGCTGGTCCTGAGAAGGATGAGGACCTTGAGGAGCCAGCAGCTGTGGGGAACGTGACCCTACACCCCCTGGACTATTGGGTGATTGACAGCGGCGCTACCTATAGCATGACACCTCGCCCCGACTCGCTCACCGAACTTGAGCCGTCACCGGTGAAGCATGTCACATCGGCCTTGGGGCAGCGAGCAGAGGTGAAAGGCATGGGCAAGGCCATGTTCAAGGGTGCTGATGGGAAGATGGTGGACCTAAAGAACGTGCTTTGGGTGCCTAGCCTTGCTGCGAACCTGATTTCCGTGCGGCGATTCGCAAAGGCCGGCATGGACACAAACTCGAAGGGAGCCAAGACCTACACCGCGAGGCTTGGCGAGCGGATTCTATGGGACCTTCACGAGGATAGAGATGTCTACAACAAGATGTGGCAGATCCCTGTGGTCCCTATGCCTAATGAGAGGCAAGTGGCAGCAAGCGTCAGCACCAAGGGTGAAGCGGTTGGTCGCGGCGATGGCGCGAACGGTCGCGTTAAGGAAAATGTGTCCAACAAGTGGAATCTTGGAGGAACCAGCAAGAAGAGTGAACCTAAGGAGAGTGATGCAGCAGCCAAGGAGCAGCACAAGGGTGAGGAGAACCCCAAGGCAATCTTCCCTTGTGAATGGGGGAGAGGAGGCCAATGATGCAGAGGAAGAAGAGGAGGAGGTGCAGCAAGTGAGCGAGCGTGCACCGTCACTCCCTTCCCGCACTATGAGTGCTCCACGGATTCGAGCCACACCGCAGCAACGCCAAGGCCTTCAAGTCCCTGCAGCTGAGGAGGAAGGAAGGGGGTAGAGGAGAGTTCAACCCCCTAATCGGCTGACCTATGATGTGCCGGGAAAGCAGGGCAAAACAGCCCTGGCTGGAGCGGCAATGAAGGTCGGAGACGACGAGGAGAGTGACTACGAGGAGTGTGCCTTCGCGTTCTTCTCTCCGGTGAAGATGCCGGGAGAACCAGCAACTCTCAAGAAGGCCTTGGAGAGTAGTGATGCTGAGGAGTGGAAGAAGGCAATGGAGAGTGAGCTGAAGAGCATTGAGGAGAACGACACGTTTGAGTTGGTGGAGCTACCGGAGGGGCGTAAGGTGATTACGTCCAAGTGGCTATTCAAGATCAAGTCCGACGCCGACGGCAAGATTGAGCGTTACAAGTCTAGGCTGGTGGCCAAGAGGTACCAGATTTATATGACATAGCTATTGTAGGCTATATTGGGGTAGCACATATGGGGTACAGCTTCTCTAGGGTTTGTATTTGTACCCAACTTTCACTTAATCATTCCATTCTCGTTCTAACTTTCTCAGATGTCAGGATGTTATTGCATACATCACTTTATAACTGCCTGCAATGTAGACTTAGTGTAGTTATCTTGCTTGTTAGGTAGTGCACCTTGCTTCACTTCTTTCATACTTGTACCCTTGAACCTATAGTGAAACCTCAATACTCTCGACACTTCCCTTCACCCTCGAACTTCACCACTAAGTTACCTAAACTACCATGGCTTCTAAGCCTACCAAACGCTAGTATCTCAACAGTAGGGTCCCCATAATACCCGGTACCGGTTTAATTTCTGACTCTCCCTTAATAAAGGCTTTACACCCACGAGAAGTAATATTCTTAGTTGTCGGGGTATACGGCTGGAGTTTACCGGTCGGTGCAGGGTCTTGTTTCGCGGATCCTCCATTAGTCTCAGCGATTTCCCCTGGTGCTGGCTGGTTGTGACGTTTTAAATTTGCGCCACCATATTCTTCTTCTTCCACCCTCTCCAAAGTTGCCACGTTGTCGGTTTTTCTGCTTCGGGGGTGCCGCACTTTTCTTGTCCTTCAGCTCTGCACACCTTCTCTTCATTTTCCAACACGCCAAGATACGATGTCCTGTAGCACCGCAAACTTTGAACGTCTCATTATTTGGTAGCCGCTACTCCACATCGCCCTCCTCGTTCTCCATCAGGTTGGCATTCGTGGGTGGTGCCATTCGCCCCATGCCACTAGTTGGCTTGTTGCGTCGTGTTCCATAGGTACTACGTGTTGCACCATTACCCTGACTCCGTCACACATGGTGCAGCAGGTCCTTCAGCGCTTCGTCCTCACGTACTCCTCGCCTCAGGCCACTCCTCTGTCTACTCGCCAATCGCTCTCAGCTCTACCTTCGGAAGAGTCCGTAGAGTCGAGTGGCCCGTACCCAGAGCTTGTTGGCTGCCTCATGTACTTGATGACCTGCACACGACCTGACCTTGCCTACCCTCTTAGCAGCTTGGCACGCTATGTTGCTCCTGGGAGACACCAACCAGAGCACATGGCTGCAGCGAAGAGGGTGTTGCGCTACGTGTGGTGGAGTGGTAAAACCGCCAGCCAGGCGCGTCAGGGGGGAAGCCAAGGAAGACGCAAGGAACAGCACGGGGAGACAGCTTGTTCGCAGACAAGTCGCGGACAAACGCCCGAGATCCCCAGACCCGGAACGCAGACGCATCGCCAACCTTTCCGGTCCACCGCAAGGCGGGGGAGGTCTCTAGCAAGGAGACCCGGGGCTGAAGGTTGAGCTGATGCGCGGCGTACTGAACCGCAAACGGCCATAGAAAATGGGGGGCAGCCGCATGCATCATGGACGTACGCGCGACGTCCATGACCATGCCAATGCGGCGCTCAGCAATCCCATTTTGCTGTGGAGAGGTCGGAAGGGTGAAGGTCTGACGGATGCCCTGTGCCCGACAGAAGGCTCCCAGACGGGCAGAGGAAAACTCCCCGCCTCTGTCCGAGTGCAGACGCAGAACAGGAAAGTCCGAGCCGAAACTCTCTCTGAGCTGGAGACGAGCTGCGGAGATCCAGTCGATCAACACCTCAGCAACGTCACCCTTGCTGCGCAAGGGGAACAGCGTGGTGTAACGCGAGTAGTCTTCAACCACCATCAGGAAGTAACGCTCGAGACCCTGGCCATGGACGCGGGCGGCGCCCCACACGTCAATGTGAAGAGTCTGCAGCGGAGCCTCTCTCGGAGGAAACTCGGACGAGTGAGGGGCGGCGCGCTGTCGCCCCTCAACGCAGGGGACGCAGGTAGGGCCAGGCCCCGGAGGAGGGGGAGGGAGAGATGGAGGAAGACCAGAGACTAGGACACAGGAGGCCATGCCTCAGAGACGAGGTAAGGAGGGGTAACCAAGGCGGTGGTGCCAAAGAGAGTGTGGTGGGACAGTAGACGACACGAGCAGAGGGCAGACTAAGGACCAGACCTGGACGCTGCAGCAAACACCTGACTCGACGCAGCTACCTGGGCAGACTCAGTAGTAGGAGGAGACTCAGCAGTAAGGGTGTACAGGCTCGACCCTGGCCGACGGGTGAATGTGGCCAATTGTCGTCCTATCCGAGCACACGTGTAGTGGGTCGCTCGCTGACTCGCAGGAGTGAACTGGTCAACCCCTCCATCGTGTAGGTCCGCTCCACTCACCAAGTTCGTAGAGAACGAGGGGAGGTAGAGACAAGACAAAGTGCCAAAGGGGGCTGCAGGGCACGGAAGGACAGTGGAGAAGCTAGCAAGGACAAGACCCCCAGAGGGGTCTGCCAGGGAGACTGCAACCAGCCGACTGAGCGGCGTAAGAGTGGTGCGGTCTCGAAAGAAGGAGCGGGACACACCCAAGTCCAGTGTGAAGGTGTGGAAGGCCTGAGCCCACGTAGTACCTGAGAGAGCAGACTCACCAGCACCTGGGGCGGCAGACGCACAAGCGCCTAGAGCAGCAGCCTCACCAGCACCTAGCGTAGCAGCCTCAATGCCTGGATCATGCGGTACACACAGGTAACAGGCACCCTCAACACTATCAGCAACAGCATACATGGCAGCAAGAATAGCATCAAAGTCAAGATCAAAGATAGCAACCCCGGCCTTAGCCAGATCTCCCTAGTGAGGGATCTCCGAGGCCTCAGGAAACTGGCGATGCCACGCGTCTGTCGGGCAACCAAAGCAGCGCTGGGTGGAGTGCGGACATCCACACTGCTCACCAGTGTGGTCACCGATACGGAGAACGTAAGAGCAGGGACCAAAACCTCCACCGCGCTGGCGTGCAGTGTACTACTCACGAAGATGCTGAGGGGACATGGTCACACCACTCCGCTGCTGCTGCTGGCGCTGACCACCACCGGCGCCACTCCTCGGTGCAGAGTCGCGACTGGCTCCACCACCGCCACCTCCACCGGCGCCGCCTCCGCCGCCTCCTCCACCTCCGCCTCCTCCACTACCTCCGCCGCCTCCGCTCCCTCTGCCATCTCCACCGCCTCCGCCGCCTCCACTGCTGCCGCCGCCGCCACCACCTTCGGCACCACTCCCACCACCACCCTCACTCCCTCCACTGCCTCCACCACCACCTCCACCGCCCCCTCCACCCCCTCTAGTGCCCTTGCCCCCCTTTTCCTTGCCGGTGCGGCGTCTCCCACTCGGGGCAGACGCAGCGCCGACCGACTCGAAACCAACGAGGTCAGCCGCAGCAGCAGAGGCAACAGAGGGCAAGAGGGGGGAGGGAGAACACCCCTCAAAGACGGGGGTGCGAGGGTCACCACGAGAGGCTCCTAGAGCGACTATGCTCTTCTCCATTGCAAGGAGGGCCTTCTAGAGAAGGTCAACGGTGAGAGTGCTGGGGCAAACAGAGGGGAAGTGGTCCTTGACTACGCGAAGAGAGTCAGGGAGCCGGGTGACTATGTAGTAGAGGGTGATGTACATGAAGAGGGGGTTCTTGGCGCAGAACTCAGCACGAAGCGCAGCGCGGTAGCGAGTGTCAAGAGTGCGGAGGTGCGTAATGAGGTCAGCAACAGTCGGAAAGGCCGCAAGGTCAGGGAAGAGGAACGGTAGCATTCGACGGCTCAGTGCAGTAGTGGCAGGGGAAGAGTAGCGTGCAACAACAGCGTCGTACAAGGTCTGAGAACTCTTGTACTGGCTAAAGTGCGCACGCTCAGTGGTCGGTAAGTGGCGGCGAACAGCAAGGCGAGCAGCAGCATCATGTGTGGCCTACTGTGAGCAAACAGTGGCGTCAGCATCAGCAGCAGGGGCAGGGGAGGCACCAGAAGTGAGGTCAAACAGGGAGAGGCCGTTTGCCCTATCGCACTGCAGAAAAGGCTGCAGATCATCTACCCAGACCTCAAATTTCACAGCCCGACCCTCAGCGTCAAAGGTGAGAACGCTAGGGGAAGCCATAACAGCTGTAGGTAGGCAGTGAGGGCAGTGAGGCAGGGCAGTGCAGTGGCAGAGAATGGGCTCTTACCAGGTAGGAGGGGCGATCGGGCTGCTCTGCGTCTGGGCTGTCGGGCGGCTCGGCTGCAGGGCGGCTCGGCTGCTGGGCGGCTCGGCTGCTGGGCGGCTCAGCTGCACGGTGCTGGGTGGCTCGGCCGTCGGGCGGCTCGGCTGCTGGGTTGCTCGGCTGCTTGGCGGCTCAGCGGTCGGGCGGCTCGGCCCTCGGGCGGCTCGGCTGCCTGGTGGCTCGGTCGCTGGGCTGCTCGGGCGGTCGAGCGGCTCAGCTGCTCGGCACTGCGGGCGCTGGGCGGCGGGGTCGCAGATGGCGGCTGGCCGTAGCGGGGCCGACCGGGCCTAAGTGGGGCCGACAGGGCCGTAGCGGAGCCGTAGCGGGGCCGTAGCAGGGCCGTAGCGGGGCCTAAGTGGGGCTGACGGGGCCTAAGTGGGGCCGACGGGGCCTTAGCGGGGCCGTAGCTCGGTCGTAGCGGGGCCGACGGGGCCGAAGTGGGGCCGACGGAGCCGTAGCGGGGCCTAAGCGGGGCCGACGGGGCCGTAGCGGGGCCTAAGCGGGGTCGTAACGGGGCCGACGGGGCCGTAGCGGGGCCTTAGCGTGGCCTAAGCGGGGCCGACGGGGCCATAGCGGGGCCTAAGCGGGGCCGTAACGGGGCCGACGGGGCCGTAGCGGGGCCGTAGCGGGCGGCTCAAGGGGCAGTAAGGGCGGCCAAAAGGGGCCACTAAGGTGGCTCAGGGCGCCACTCGGGCTAGGAGCTAAGCGCGCTCCGGGCAGAGAAGGAAAAAAATATACGTGGTGGGCCCTAAGCAGTATTCCCACTCGGGAACCTGCTCGATACCATGACGAGAAGTGAGAATGGATGAATGAACTATGAAAGAGTTGGGTACAAGTACTAACCCTAACTGGGTTGTACCCCATATGGGCTACCCCAATACAGCCTACACAAATGTATAAGCTATAATGTTCTGACAGAAACTCGATCGAACGGTCGAAACTCCAACCTTCCCACCAGTAAATATGATTGGTCTTCGAAAACCGAATTGAGGTGGACTTAGAAAGATTGCACGGAACTGGTTTTACATACCCGTATCGGCACTTTTGTCTTTGCCCCCGCGGTTTTTAAAGGCCGGAACTAAGCGGTTGAAGACCTCGCGTCTAAACCCGCTCTAATTACCAAGTGTGAGTATCTAGGATCGAGCTCAGGAAAGAGAATTGTAATTGAATTGAATTGAATGAATGATCACTTGGGTACAACACGAGGCTATATATAGGCTCAACACAAGGCCCCGTAACCAGGTGTTACGCGAAGGTTCCGCGGGCTGCGAAGCGTCCCGAACAGGTCCTTCCTGAATTCGGTAGAAGGCAATTTGGTGGCAACCGAAAAGCCAGAATTCGGTGCACGTAACCTAGCTCGGTACTATAACAATAATAAAATATAGGAAAGCACCTAGCCTAGGAAATTAAGCAATTCATGCATGCATATAATTATCCTATGCCTGAAATAGCATGATAAAGTAAAGGCAAGCAAGCATAGCTGGCATAAGCCGTCGTACTCTCACAAGGTCCTTCAGCGCTTCAGCATCACTTGGTCCTCGCCACAGACCACTCTTCTGGCTACAGGTCACTCGCTCTCACCTCCACCTTCGGACGAGTCCGTAGAGCCGAGTGGTCCGTACCCAGAGCTAGTGGGCTGCCTCATGTACCTGATGACTTGCACTTGTCCTGACCTTGCGTACCCTCTTGGCCTTGTGGCACGCTACGTGGCTCCTGCTAGGCATCGAAAGGTACACTTCGATGCTGCGAAGAGGGTGTTGCGCTACTTGTGTAGTACGTCGAGCACGGGGTTCGTGCTTGGAGGGCGGAGTCCAGTTGTCCTTACTGGGCACTCAGACGCTTCTTGGGTTGACGACCTGGCTACGCAGTGGTCGTCACAGGGTTACACCTTCAGCCTTGGCTCTGGCTCTATTTCTTGGCGGCCTACACGCTCGTCTTCAGTTCTCAGCTCCAGTTGTGAGGCTGAGATCTACGCCATAGCCATGGCTGCATAGGAGTTACGCTGGCTCACCTGCCTGCTGACCGACTTGGGAGAGAGGCCTTGTTCTCCTCCAGTTCTGTACGTCGACAACAAGGCTGCCATTGCCTTGTGTCAGGACCACAGACTGGAGCACAGAACAAAGCACATTGCTCTGCGTTACTACCTTGCTTGAGAGTTGCAGCACCGTGGTCAGCTTCGTGTCCCTCACGTGCCCACCTGAGCGAACACGGCTGATGTGTTCACCAAGGCCCTTCCGGCTGGTGATCATGAGTGCTTCTGCACTGCTCCAGGCGTGGTGCCTACGTTTCCTCACTTGTTGTAGACTTTGGTTGTACTGTGATATTTTTATTTCGACCTGCATGTTTAATCTTGCTAGGTAGTGATCACTGTACAGTTGTTGTTGCATATATACCTTTGCATGTGAACTGGCCTTGTGGCACTTTGCTTGTGCTCGGAGTGTGTGGTGACGTTGTGATCTACCCTAAGCTTGCTGTGCTTTTCTTGACTGGTTATGTGATTGCTTGTTCTCCCCCGCTTTTCCTATTGGGGTGTGTCAAACTATATCTGTGCTAGTTCTATATAGGCTATAGTAGGGTAGCCCATATGAGGTACAACCCAATGTTAAGGTTAGTACCTGTACCCACAAGTCATTCAATGCTGTCATTCCTGCTTGCTATCTTGACAGTACGAAGTCCAGGAGTCAGAAGAGTCGAGTCGACGCAGCAACCGTCTAACCAAGGCCGATGCAGGCATAAACATTTGAAATGGAAAGAGCGAGAACAGGTTTGAAACGGCTTCCCGCGCCGCACAGTTTGAATTCGCCGCAATAAGGGAATGTACCCCTTATAGTACATGGCTAGTCTAGTTCCTTTGCATTCCTTTGTATTTCCTATATAATCTCGATGTATGCATGCTATTATCAATCTCAATCATTTACATTCACTCTGATCTGATCTGAGGTTCGATACTTCCGCTGCAACACTACCTTGCGATCAACCCTGAGCGATCCTTCGCTAAGTCTCGCTTGGGATTGTAACATGGTATGAGAGCCATTCAGGGATTCTTTGCAACTTCACTTTCGTGGAATTCGCCGAACCAAGATCTGGCGAGCGGCACACGCTCTAAGACCAAGATGGCCGGAGGATCTGGAGGCCAAGCGAATCTGACGGCCAAAGGACAAACCAACCTGGCTGCGACAAATGAGGCGATAATCACGATCAGCACTGCCGCGCTTGAGCAGTTATTTTCACAACTCTCAACTATGGAAAAATACTTCCAAGAACTGCGCAAAGGCGATGCGGGAACCTCCTCCCAAACAGTTCAACCTTGACAACCTGCTATGAAAAGTCGCGATACCACCGCGCACACCTTCTCCCTCGACACAGACAAATCAACAACAACTGACCCCGTCCAAGTGATTAAGTCATCAACTCTGCGCAAGCATGCTTTCTCAACGTTTCAAAAATTAAGACTACCGCCACGTTTGACGGCAATGAATTTTACACTTGGGGTTTTGAGCTTGAGCTCCTCCTACACACAGCACAGATCTACCATTACTTCGACGGCTCCTACGCAAAACTGGTGGAAGACACCGACGACGCCAGAGCTCAGTACTACAACGAGTCCCTCATGGCGTACAATGTGCTGCTACGTAATATTATGCCTGCGCAACAACTCAGCATTTGCTCCTACAAAGAGAGCGCTGCTCCAGCCCTGGAAGCTTGGAAGCACCTCATTGAGGTATATCAAGCGAAGGATTCGATCACCGCAAGAAGGCTCTTGCAGCAACTCATGGAGACCAAGATGGGGCACGGGGAGAAAGAAAACTCTTATATCAACCGCTGTTGGAACATTCGTGACCAAATCACGAAGCATGGAAGCGCAATCTCAGAGGAGATCTTCGTCAATATTGTCCTTCAAGGACTCAGGCCAGAGTGAAAGCCCTGCAAAGCGCTACTCCAACAACGAGGAATCATCACAGAAGCCGCACTATGCGACGCCCTCGTGACTGAACAGCAGGACATGGACTCGAGGAGAACAAGCTCCGTGCCGCGCCGAGAGCGCCTCGCCTTCTAGACATACAACCGTGAAGAGCGACGACAACCAAGGCGCCACTATTGCAAAATATGCAAAGTATTCAGACATTCAACGGTTCGATGCAAATCCCGGTCCAACTATCGCCACCCGAATTCCACTCACCATAACAACTGGGTCGGCCGACAAGACGCTCATCATTCCCAACCCCAGCATCACACCTCTCGTCCCCCTGCACAGCACTAGCAACAGAAGGCGCAAGGATCTCAAGCAGGAGCTCCTAGA